GGCGGTAGACGCACGAGCACCTAAAGCTGCAGCAGACTGACTAGCACCAGGCACGGCAGCAGACTCACTAGCACCTAGTGCGGCAGCAGACTCACTAGCACCTAGAGCAGCAGCCTCTACAGAACCAGGGACACATCGCTGAGGAAACAACTCACTACTCAGCTGCGGGGAGAAGGTCTCCTGCTGACTCTGCTGCCGCCGCTTTGCAGTAAGCAGAAAACCAAAGTCTCCACCACCTGGACGGGCTCGCTGAATAACCCACTCGCGAAGCTGCTGCGGGGATAGCGTGTCCGGGAGAGGCAGTGGCTGCTGCTGTCCACCCCTAGCCGCTGCGACTACCGTGAGAGTGGCCATGACAGGCAGTGGCAGTCAGTAGCAGCGGCGCAAGGGCAGTAGTAGCGACTGGTGTAGTGAATGTGGAGGCGAGTAGAGTACGTGGGCAGCACGAGCCGCAGCAGCAGTAGTGGCAGCAGCCGTAGCAGTAGCAGTAGGAGCAGCAGTAGGGCAGCAGCATCAGCGCTTAGCAGCAGCAGCAGCTCATGCAGCAGCGGCGCGCTGGGCAGGCGCTTTTAGGGTTGTGGGGCGCGCTGGCGCGCTTAGCAGCGGGGCGCACTGGCGCGCTGGGCTGCGGGGCGCACTGGCGCGCTGGGCTGCGGGGCGCGCTGGCGCGCTTCGCAGTGGGGCACGCTGGCGCGCTTCGCAGTGGGGCGCGCTGGCACGCTTAGCAGCGGGGCGCGCTGGCGCGCTGGGCTGCGGGGCGCGCTGGCGCGCTTAGCAGCGGGGCGCGCTGGTGCGCTTAGCAGCGGGGCGCGTTGGCGCGCTGGGCTGCGGGGCGCGCTGGGGCAGGAGCTGCTCGCGGGCAGAAGGGGCGCGCAGGGCAGGGGCTGCTCACGGGCAGCAGGGGTGCTCGGGGCAGGGGCTGCTCGCGGGCAGCAGGGGCGCTCGGGGCAGGGGCTGCTCGCGGGCAGCAGTGGCGCTCGAGGCAGGGGCTGCTCACGGGCAGCAGTGGCGCTCGAGGCAGGGGCTGCTCGCGGGCAGCAGTGGCGCTCGAGGCAGGGGCTGCTCGCGGGCAGCAGTGGCGCTCGAGGCAGGGGCTGCTCGCGGGCAGCAGTGGCGCTCGAGGCAGGGGTTGCTCGCGGGCAGCAGTGGCGCGCGGGGCAGAGGCTGCACGCGGGCAGCAGGGGCGCGCGGAGCAGGGGCTGCTCACGGGAAGCAGGGGCGCGCGTGACAGCAGGGCAGCGCGCTAGGGCAGGCAGTGCGAGTAGTTGCAGGGTAGTGTGACACTGTGCGAGAGGGCCGGACAGCGCAAGGGCGCTTCGGGCAGGAACTAGCGGAACGATCGGTGGGCCCTAAAAACCTAACAGGTTTCCTGCTCTGAATACCATGTCAGAATCAACGGTGCAGGAATGAATGAACTATGAATGAGTTGGGTACAAGTACTAACCCTAAAGTGTTGTACCCCTTATAGGCTAACCCACTATAGCCTAGAGAGAACACAAACATAGAGTTTGAGACACTGACCTTCAGAGCATGCGCCTCCCCCGCCGTTGGTCGGCGCACCGCAACATCCACCCGCTTCCCTACCAACATCGAGTCGTCCTCCATCGACACCACCCCTCCCGACGCCTTAGCGATCCTAGCCACCGCAAACTTCACCTCGTCGTGCACCCGTGACGGCCCGTGCTGGTGCTTACAGCGCAATGCATGGTGTGGATCTGCCGGGTCCGTGTACGCGGTGCCGCAAATGCAACGGCCCGCGACGTGCAGCTGCTGAATCGGAAGGCCCAAACGCACAGCCGCGGCAATGCCCCACTCAGCGGCTGTAAAGGTCAAATCTGAATGTGCAGGCACCGCCAAGACCCAAGCACCAGCTCCCGGGCCCTGAAGGGATGTGAAACGGTCCAGGGTAGCATCGTCACGGGCCATACGATGGAGGGCCTGGAGCTCCTCCACAGCTAACAGCCGCTGCCGTGTGTGGAAAAGTCGAACTGGTGGGGCCGCTACGCAGAGGTGGAGACCCGGCATCTCCTGGCGTACAGTGTCAGGCAGCTGCTCGAGGCTCTTGGAGAACCACAGGTTGAGAAAGTTCACCCCCCCCGAAGAGCTGAGGTAGTCCCTAAACATCGCCTCCTCTCCCGCTATCCCCAACTGATCCACACCTCGCGCCGCCTGCGTCCATCCACAGGCATAGGAGAGTGGGCTCAAAGACGCCGCAGCTCGAACACCGAAACCACTCAGACGGACTGGGAGGTGCAGCTGCAGGCGGGCCAACCTAGACCGACCAGAGTCGTGCTCCCATGTGCACGGAGGAAAAAGCTGCTCAAAACAGTCCTCCACCCTGCTGTCCCACTCCCTAAACGCCTCCACCACCTCTGGTCGTGGTGGCACCGTCCGAGCAAGATATATAGGTCGTGCCGACACTGCAATGGCCAGAAGGTGCGCCGCCATCTGGGGATGCTCGAGCAACGGGAGCCAAGGAAGGGGCGCCTGCTGTCAGAATGTAATATTTGTCTAGTCTGCAGTGGGGTACTCTATAGTGAGTACAGCCCAACTAGGGTTTGCTATATGTATCCCATTGCTTACTAGTGAAACCCCTCTTCTCTGTTCTAACTTCTGCTTGCTATCTTGACATGCTACCGTCGCGTCACCCCGGGGACCCGCGCGTCCCTCCCCGTCGACCGTCGCGCCGCCCCCGGGGACCCGCGCGTCCCCCCCGTCGACCGACGCGTCGCCCCTGGGGACCCGCGCACGCCCCCCGCGATCCCGTCGCGTCGCCCTGGGGACCCGCGCGCGGCCCCCGCCATCCCGTCGCGCCGCCCTGGGGACCCGCGCGCGCCCCCTGCGCTCCCGTCGCGCCGCCCTGGGGACCCGCGCGCGCCCCCTGTGCTCCCGTTGCGCCGCCCCGTGCCCCCGTGCGCCGCGAGGCTTCTTCCTTCCCGCGGGTGGCGAGTATGGGGGTGACGGGTGTGTGAGCCGTCTCATGCTCCTCCTCCTCCTCCGTCTCCCACTGTTGCAGCTGCTGCTGAGGGGGGTGGGTGTGTGGGAGCCGAGGGAGTGGTGCTAGGGGGGTGTCGTGGGAGTGGAGCTAGGGGTGCAACAAGGGGTGTGTGAAAGGGGTATGGGACAGTTGGGGGAGGTTGAGCGGAGGTAGCCGTCGTGATGTCACCAACGCCAGTAGTCCGGGGGTCACCCTTGCTCCGGTAGCCCAGCGAGCCTGCTGACGTCGGTCGCCCGTGGGTCCGTTGCTCCTGCCGCTCGTCTTAGCCGCGGAGCCAGTTACTCCAGTAGTCCGGATACCCTTGCTTGTGTCCGGTAGCCACCGTGCGCGCCGCTCCTGTTGCCCGTGTATTTGCGGCTTCACCCGTCGCCTCCTATCTCCACTCCTCTCACAGTCCCTCCTCCTCCTCACTTGCCCTCTGTGGCAGCCTCTAGCTTTGCTTGTGCTTGTGAACTTATTAAAATTACTGCTTGCTGTGCTGATTATACCCCACTTTGACTATGGGGGTGTGTCAGAATGTAATATTTGTCTAGTCTGCAGTGGGGTACTCTACAGTGAGTACAGCCCAACTAGGGTTTGCTATATGTATCCCATTGCTTACTAGTGAAACCCCTCTTCTCTGTTCTAACTTCTGCTTGCTATCTTGACACCTGCAACTCCTGTAGCCGCTCCCGTAACCGAACAACCTCCCAGTCCTCATCCCCAATCGGAACGCCAACTACCGTCAAACCCTCCTCCGTCCGCTGCATGCCAGGTGGCAACCGCTCCTCTAGATCAGCTCCCCCCCGCTCCCAAAACCGACACTTATGCGCCTGCACTTGCAATCCCACTGACTCCAACCGCTCCTGTAGCACGCCAAACGCCTCCAATATCCGATCCCCAGGACCGAAAATGTAGGTATCGTCGGCATAGCTCAGGAACAAGACATCGGCGAAATCCTTGATGACCGGCTCCATGACCTGCAAAGCTTACCAAAGTAACAAAGAAAATGACTTTGCAAATGCTACGACCGAATTATGGTTGTTGCTACAAACCACTCAATAACGGGTTCAAGACATAAATATAAAAAACTTATCCTTTTGCTTTCACTGTACCACTCATCTATAGGATGAAACCAAAAGCGGGTACTACCGATTTGATCAGCGAGGTTCGAAAGAGAGCCACTTAGTCCAGAACAGCAGCCGCAAAGGGCGGTATCCATCACGTAGCTGCTACTACGGCTCGACCAACAACCAACGCTATTGCAGACCATGGCTGTGATAGCATCCGGTTCAATCAACTCAGCTGGGGCCTCAAAGTCCGACCGCCCTTCCCCGTCCGCTGGACGATCCTCCACCATCACATCGTTTCGCCTCGGTATTGCATCGCTCCTTCTGCTCCTTGGCCTCTTTGTTGCCTCACACGACCCGATTCGCCTTGCTCCGTCGCCTGGCAATGATGTTCCAGGTAGCCAGCTCCCTCCTTCGCAAATATCTTCGTCATTCGCTGAACACGCCGACTCCCGACCCCTGCGTACCCGCTCGTTACATGAGTCGCACGGAATAGATTCAATTAGCTCCGAAATTAGCTCCGGAATTATCTCTGAAAATAGCCCCGCTGAAGGACCCGCAATTCCGCGCCAAAACGCGCCTTCCAAACCTTCGCGTCTTGATTGGCCCCGCGCATCCCGGAGCCAATGGCGGGCACGACGCCGATCTCGCATGGAGGTGCAAGCGGAAATGACGGGGAAAGAGACTGGCGGAGCAGCGGCGGTCAGCGGAGCTGGCGGAGCACGCAAGCCGCAGCCGGAGTGGCGGGGGGAGGGGAAGGAGGATGCGGAAGGGAGAAGGGTGGCGGGAGCGGAACGAAAGGCTGAAGAGGCAAATCGAGGAGAAGGGGATGGTGAGAGACGGGAGGGGAAAACAGTGGAGGAGGAGAGAGGAAGGGAGGGAGCGGCTGAATGGTCAGGGGATCAGGGGAATGGAAGGGGAAAGAGGGCAAGGGGACGAGGGGGAGTAAATAGGAGCAGTGGGGTGTGGGTTCGGGACTGGTGGGCGGAGGAATGGGGCGACGACAGTGGGCTCGGTGACGATTCGGAGGAGGAGGAGTGGGAGAGAGAGGGTTGGGAGAGAGGAGAGGGTGAAACTCGGGGAGAATTTGAGGGTCATGGAGTGGGAGAGAGTGAGAAAAATGGGCAACAGGATGGGAGGAGAGGAGGTGGGAGGAGCAGCAGTGGGGGGAGGAGGCGAGAGCTGGTGGAAGAAGGGTGGGTGGAGGGACCTGACGAGTCAGCAAATCTGGCGTTTAGCTGGGTGAACGAGGCTGGGCGGCCGGAGGATCTGATCTCACCAGCAGCCAAGCGGTACCAGTGGGTGTGGCCCACGCGACAGCAAGGCAGCTCATGGCGAATGCCCTTCGCCCGGCCTACGTCGGTTGACATTGCAGTGAGTGAGGCGCTTGGCAGCACCGCACAGCACCGCACTTGGCCGCACCGGATCGCACTGCACTGCCCGGCACAGCACAGAACTGCAGAGCACCCTTGGACTATGATCTCAGTTTCCATTTTGCTCACCTGCCCCACCTGCCGCACCTCTCCATCACTCGACCCTGTCACCTCACCGCCCCCCACACAACCCCCGCCTCTCGCACTCTCTTCCATTCTATCTTATCCCCACCCCTCCTCCGCCTTCCCCGCCACCAGAATACTCGTACCTGCGCCAAGCTGCTTCCGCCCTCCGCCTACTCCGGCCTCTCCACCACCATCACGGGTAAAAACGCTTCGGAAGATCAGCTGCGGGCTCTGCTTGCAACAGCAGCAGCAGCAGCAGCTGCAGCAGGAGGAAGCAGTGGTAACACGAGCGCTGCTGCAGGGGGGGTAGCGGCGGCAGGAGAGCGGTGGTTGGTGTATGTGCCGAGGCACGGCCTGGGCAACTCTCTGCGCGGCTTTTCCTCTGCTCTGCTCTTCGCCTTGCTCTCTGGCCGCCGCTTCCTGCGCTGGCACGGGGGGCCGCACGGCCGGGTGAGAGGGAGGGAGAGAGGGGACTATTCTTTAGAGGGTGATGGATACTGCTTTTCCAGTCCCTGATTTTCCCAGTCCCTGCTTTCCCAGTCCCCGCTTTCCCATTCTCCTTTTCCCCATGCCCGGTAGTGTTGGCCCCCACCTGCTTGTCACGGGTGTTTGGGCCAATTGTTACCTCTCGAATGGGCCAATTGTTACCTCTCGAATGGGCCGATTGTTACCTCTCGAATGGGCCAATTGTTACCTCTCTCTCTCTCTCTCTCTCGCTCTCTCCATGATTCACTGTGCACCCTCCCTCGCCCCATGTCCCCCATCAGGTGCTAGATCGTCTCTGCGACGCATTTGGATGTGCCACGGACCAGCTCATCACCACGTCGCTCTCACTCCCCCTCCCGCTCCTCGAGGACCACGACCTCCTCCTGCACGGCCTCTCCGACCCCTCCCCCGTGCTCTCCGTCTTCACGGGTGCCTTCTTTGACAAGTTCTGGCGCAAGGACAAGCGCGTTTATCGGTGCGTGCTGGCCGCGTTCCGCTGCGCCACCATCTGGTGCGTGCACGCGCGGACGCTCGCGCTGCTGCTCCCCAACGGCCCGTCTCTTCGCCTGGAGCGAGAGCTGGATAAGGGCCTCTGGTCGATTCGGCCTCTGGTGCAGCAGCCGGAGGGAGGGGAGGGAGTGGGAGTGGGAGTGGGAGGAAGGGTGGGGATGGGCGAGGAGGAGGAGCATTGGGAGATGGAGAAGGTGGCGCCAGGGCAGGCGGTGCGGATGCAGTTTGACATGGCCCTGCACGTGCGAGGGCGCCCCAGGTGAGACCTGAGTCGACTACTCAAAAGCAATCTCAAAAGGCTCGAGTAGATGGAAACATTGCAAAAACATCAGGGCGGGCAGACAGTGCTTTGGTGCGGGGTCAGTTTTACCCGGCTGGCTCTGGCTGGCTCTGGCTGGCTGTGCATGGGCGAGGTGAGATGAGGTAAAGACGGCCCAATGCGCAACCATATGAGGTGAGGTTGCCAAGCTTGAGACATGGCTCTTTCGTTGCGCCTTACACACCTGCCATTCCTGCGTGTGTGAGGGTGAGTAAACATATGCTGTATGTGGATAGCGAGACTTGAGTAAGATGAGCTGCTGCTTACCATCGTACCGTCTTCCATAACCAAATTTGTTTCCCTGCTGCCCTTCCCCCCTGTTCTTCCTGCCTTCTTCTCTCCCGTCCCCCCCTCCTCCTCCTCCCTCGGTTCTCCCCTCGCTCCCCGCCCTCCACCCTCCAGCAAGGTGGAGTTGGTATGCATGAACGGAGACCCTTCCTGTATGCAGCTGCAGCAGCAGCAGCAGGAGCAGCAAGAGCGGGAGCAGCAGGAGCTAGTGGCCAGCCTTCTCCGCCCCTCGCGCTGGCACTGCATCGTTCGCCTCGCGCAGTTCCTGCGGATAAAAAAAGCTGCCACCCTGCTCGCTGCTGCTGCGGCTGCTGATGGTGCAGGTGGTGAGTATGCCAGTGCTAGTGCTTCCGCTGCAGCAGAAGCAGCAGGAGGAACAGCAGCAGCAGCCGCTGGTGTTGGTAGTACCAACGCCTCCTCCCGTGGTTTGAGCCAAACCACGAGTGCTGCACCTGCTGTCTCACCCTACGATCAGTCCCTCCCAGCATCTTCCCCACATGCTGCTCCCCCCACTCTCTCTCCAACCAGTGTCCCATCGGCCCCATCTCCTATTAACCCTGCCATAAGCAGCGCCAGCGACAGCAGCAGCACCAGCAGCAGGAGCACCAGCAGCAGCAGTGCAGGGAGGCGGAGGCGCCTGGAGGAGGAATGGACAGTAGAAGAGTCAATGCGAATAGCTGCCATCACCACCACCACCACCACCACCACCACCATCCCTTCTCCCGCCTCTCCCCTACCCCCCGCCGCTGCCCCAGCCCCTCCCCCTTTTTTCCCCCCTCTCCCCCTCCTCACCATTTTCATCGCCACAGACACAGACGAGGTCCGGCCAGCCATAGTCAAATTCCTGCGCCCGTTCGGCCGAGTCTTCTTCTCCAACGCGCCTGCCATCCATCTGTCCAAGTCCCGGTCCCAGGGGAGTCACCTGAGCACGCTCGGGGACTTTCTGATGCTTAGTAAAGCGTCGGTGGTGGTGAGCTTCACGCGCTACATCAGCACGTTTGCCATGTTTGCCGCTATGCTGGGGAACGGCACGCTTGTGGCGCAGCCTGAGTCGGAGAGTAACTGCCGGTTTGTCGTGGAGCACTTGGCGCAGATGCCCTCGTGAGGTCACCTCACCTCACCTCACCTCACCTCACCTCACCTCACTTGACCTGAGTATATGAGCCGCGGCTAAATCCTACTCTCCCTGAATCTCAGAATCCATGAGTTTTTCAACCCATGGATGGCCGATTCCCTCATCTTGATACGGTACAGTGTGCGCTGCTGGCAGAGTACCGGTACCTTATGTGCTGCTGCAATGCTGGAGACAGTACTACACATGGTGCCATAACTCTCAAAGTTAGCGAACAACGGAATATGTGAACTAGGGAAACAAGGGATACAAATAGCAACCCTAAAAGTGTTGTACTCCCTAGAGTGCTACTCACTGTAGCCTAAGAACCTATAATCACATTTGACACACCCCCATAGGCTAAGTGAGGGGCATCAAAGCAAGCAGGGTGAACAAACGGTCACAAGACCAGTCAATGCAAGAAGCAAAGCAAGCTCAGGGTGGATCTCAAGGACACCACACAAATTCCGAGCACAGGCAAGCGGCCACAAGGCCAGTTCAAGAGTTCATTAGGATATATATAGCAAAGCACAACAAGCAGAGCAAACAGCAAGTCTACAGCAACAGAGGGCCTACCTCAACAAGCCCCAACTGCACACAGAACCTGTGGTGGTCACCAAGCGCCAGTGCCTTGGTGAAGACGTCTGCAGTGTTGGCCTCTGAGGCCACAAAGTCCAGGCGTGCCTGGCCGCGTCGCTGCAGCTCTCGCAGAAGGAAGTACCTCACGTCAGTGCGAACAAACACCGTGGTGTACCTGGAGAAGTCGTCGACGACCACCAGAAAGTAGCGCTCTCTCTCAGGTGCAGGGCCCCAGACATCCAAGTGGAGTGTCTGGAAGGGAGCAGTGGCCGGACGAAGGGAGGAGTGCGGAGTGGCACGAAGACGGCCGGCGACGCAAAGAGTGCACGGCGGCGCAGGCGAGGGAGGGAGCGACGGGAAGACGCGAGGGAGACCTGAGACAAGACGGTGACTAGCCATAGTGCGGAGGCGGGGGATCGACGCGTGGCCAAGACGGTGGTGCCACAAGACGGTCCGGTGGGTGAAAGACCGACACGAGCAAGACGCAGCAACTAGACCGGACACAGCAACCTGACCAGACACAGCAACCTGATCGGACACAGCAACCGGTGGGGACGCAGTAACCTGACCAGACTCTGCTACCGGGGGGGACGAAGCAACCTGACCAGACGCAGCTACCTGCGGGGGCGGAGTGTGCAGGACGAAGAGACCTGAGTGGGGCTCTCTGGTGAACGTGGCAAGAACTGCCCCGGTGGAAGAGTCCGTACAGATCGCAGTCCTCCCGTGCGCAGGAAAAGTGACTGTGATCCCCCGGTCCTGAAGGTATCCAACACCCACCAAGTTCCGAGAGAACGAGGGGATGTAGAGACTTGTGAGGAAACCAGAGGGGACAGCTGGGCACGGGAGGGTGGTCGAGCTGCGAGCAACTGCTGGTCCTGAAGTAGGATCAGCCAGGGCAACTGGGACTGGAGCCGAAAGAGGTGTGACAATGGTGTGGTCGCGGAAGAAGCACTGAGACGCGCCGGAGTCCAGCATGAAGGAGAGCGACGCAACAGCAGTCGTCACGGCCGGGCTAGTGACTACACAAGCACCTACACTAAAAGCACAAGTACCGACACTAGCAACAGGCAAAGGTCCTAAGCTAGGTACACGTAAGCCAAGAGACCCGTACGTGACAGAATAAACAGCATCCATAGACATATCCAACACAGGGTAACCACTACGAAACAGACCGGGCCAGATCGGGGGAGCCGACTCAGGCCCAAAACGCTCACGGTAAAGGTCGTCGAGGCAACTGTAGCAGCGCTGTGCAGAGTGGTCAGGACGCCAGCAAGTAGTGCCAGCACCAGGGCCGGTCAGGATCCGGTACTGGCAGGGGCCGACGTCGCGGCCACCGCGACGAGCCCCCCAGCTGGCTGGGCCGCTGCTGCAGCCAACGCGACCTGAACCACCAGGCCCCCACGGCTGCTGAGGGCGCCACAGCTGCTGAGGGCGCCCCTGCTGCTGTGGAAGCCACTGCTGAAACGGCCGCTGCTGATGTCCCTGCTGCTGGAGAACCCTAGTGGACTCCATGATAAAAGCTAGCGGGGTGCAGGAGCGGCAGGCTAGGAGCGACAGGAGCTAGGGACGGCTGCAGTGAAAAACGAGAACAACTAGGAGCACCAGGTGAAACTAGGCGAGTAACTGCTGGAGCACGGAGCGAACTAAGCTAGGAGCGCCAGGTGAAACTAGGCGAGGAACGGCTGGAGCACGGAGCAAACTGAGCTACGAGCGAGGAGCGAGAACGGCTGGAGCGAGAACGGCTGGAGCTAGAACGGCTGGAGCTAGAAACGACGAGCTAGGGCTGGCTGGAGGTAAGAACGGCCAGAGCTAGAGACCGTAAGTGCGGCTGTCGGCTGCCGCTAGTAGAGCCACTGGCAGTGGAACTTACGTGCGACAGTAGGGGCTGCAGTACTGACGGCTGCGGGATGCAGGCAACTGTGCAGGTCGTCCGGCAAGCAGGAACGCGGGTGACAGTTGCAGGCCCCCACCCTAAACCCTTTTTTTTGTTTTTTGTTTTAGGGTTTAATTTCTATTTATTTATTTATTTTCAGGCGCTAAAGCGCTCCGGGGCGCGCTGCCTGCAGGGTGTGCTGCCTGCGGGGCGCGCTACCCGCGGGGCGCGCCGCCTGCGGGGCGCGCTACCTGCGGGGCGCGCTACCCGGCGGCGCGCTGCCTGCGGGGCTGGGGCGACGGGCCAGGGCGCGGGCTGGGGCGACGGGCTAGGGCGCGGGCTGGGGCGACGGGCTAGGGCGCGGGCTGGGGCGACGGGCCAGGGCGCGGGCTGGGGCGACGGGCTAAGGCGGGCGCCAGGGCGACGGGCTAGGGCGGGTGCCTGGGCGACGGGCTAGGGCGCGGGCCTGGGCGACGGGCTAGGGCGTGGGCATGGGCGACGGGCTAGGGTGGGCGCCTGGGCGACGGGCTAGGGCGGGCGCCTGGGCGACGGGCTAGGGCGCGGGCGCCTGGGCGACGGGCTGGGGCGGGCGCCTGGGCGACGGGCTAGGGCGGGCGCTTGGACGACGGGCTAGGGTGGGCGCCTGGGCGACGGGCTAGGGCGGGCGCCTGGGCGACGGGCTAGGGCGGGCGCCTGGGCGTCGGGCTAGGGCGGGCGCCTGGGCGACGGGCTAGGGGCGCATGCTAGGGGCGCTGAGGGCGCTAACGCGCGAAGGAGGAGGGCGCTAAGGCGCGGAGATGGCGAGGAGGGCGCGGAGGCTAAGGCGCGGAGGGCGCGGAGGGCGCGGAGGGCGCGGAGGGCGCGGAGGGCGCGGAGGGCGCGGAGGGCGCGGAGGGCGCAAGGGTGCGGAGGGCTCTAGGGCGCGAGCTAGGCTAGGCTAGGCGAGAGGATCGACACCTAGTCATGATACCATCTCAAAGTTAGCGAACAACGGAATATGTGAACTAGGGAAACAAGGGATACAAATAGCAACCCTAAAAGTGTTGTACTCCCTAGAGTGCTTCTCACTGTAGCCTAAGAACCTATAACAACATTTGACAATAACATACAATGTACCTACACAGTTATGGTATTGCACAGGTCTTTGTGCTTAATGCATAAGCTAAAATTAGAATGCTGACAAGAAAATAGAGCATTTATTGAAGAAGTTGATCCACCTAAATTACTCGTGTACTCTAAACATGCCTGTACAGCACTCACTGCAGCCTAACTAACTACCCAACGCTGCAAATTACCTATCAACACAGCACAGCGCCTTCAAATGTCCAACTTCCCAGGGTAACAAAATCTCAGCGATAGGAGTAAGAGCCCGCATTTGGAGGTGGGTACGAGGGAGGGTAAGGAGGAGCCTGGCCATAGGTGTACGACTGAGAGGGGGGGTAGGATGAAGGTGGGGGGTACTGGTTGGGCTGGTAGCTTTGGGGGTAGGCGGGAGGAGGAGCAGTGTAGGGTGGTTGAGCAGTGTAGGGTGGAGGGTAGGGTGCCGCGGGATATGGCGAGGGGGAGTACTGTACGGGGATAGGGAGGGGAGGGGGAACGGGAGGGGAGGTGGCATGAGAGGGTAGAGAATGGGGAGGTTAGGGAGTGGGGTGAGAAGGGAAGAAGGGGATGGTGTCGCAGGTGTGCGAATCGGTATGTGGGTGATGGGTGGAGCACATTAGGAGTGCAGAGGAGGTGCAAGCGGCTATGACCGTTTGACCTTGTGATTTCTGAGATGCCTCAAAAGGCTGTGAGCAGATTGGATACGAGGGTGACTGAGAGACTGGCACGGCGAGACATGACTATGCCAATGCAGGAGAGGCATGGGTTGAAGATACAGAAGAAGCGATGGCAGAAGGCACAAGGGGAAAAGGGGATCGCGGAGTGAGAAGCGACAACCAGGGAGCACGGGAGTGGGATTGGGTGTGGGGAGGGCTTACCTGGGGACGGTACTTGAGAATGACTCGTAGGGAACCGTGCTGACTGTGAGGGGGCATGACGAGGGAGTGGGGAGTTTGAGAAGGGGGAGGGCGGAGGGGAGAGGGGGAAGGGGAGACGGGAGAGGGAAGAGGGAAGAGGGAAGAGGGAAGAGGGAAGAGGGAAGAAGGGGGAGAGGAGAGGGGATAGGGGAGAGGGGATAGGGGAGAGGGGATAGGGGAGAGGGAGCGGTGAAGGTTGACGAAACGCGATGGAGAGGCGTCAGAGTGGCAGCACAGTGGCCTCAACGCATGGTCGCGGTCGTGCCTCCCTGCCTGCTTATGACATGCAAAAGACGCAACCTGCACTTTGCCTGCCTGCTCCCCACCCCCCCCGCCCGCCCGCCTGCCTGCCCGCCTGCCTGCCTGCCTGCCACAGACGCTGTCCCTGTGACTATCCCTTCCACTTGCCCTAGCTCTTGCCACTCGTGCGTGTGCGTGTGCGGAAACTCACTGCTGTCGCTTGTTGTACACGGGAAAATAGCCGTCCTCAAAGCCCGTTGCCAGCACCCTATCCAATGCTATTCTGCACGGGACACCAAATAAGGCACAGCAGACGCACAGGGGGCACACATGGGACGCACAGGGGGGCAGCATGGGAGAACAGTTGCGGCCAAGGGATGGCAGACGCATATGGAAAAACGGCAGGAATGGAGTCGATTGAGCCGTAACCACAGGTATAATGGAACAGATATGCTGGAAGGGGGTGGACAGAGAGAATTTCTTCTAAGCTCTGTTTGATCGAAGCAGGAGGTGAAGCGAGGAAGGAGTGGGAGGACAGCCGCGGCGAGGGAGGGAAGGGAGAAAGGGACGGATAAAAAGGAAGGAGGGGAGGAAGGGAGGGAGGGAAGGAGACGGGAGACGAAAGGGGAGGAGAAGAGAAGAGAGAGGGAGAGAGGGAGAGAGGAGAGAGGGAGAGAGGAAGAGAGGAGAGAGGGAGAGAGGGAGAGAGGAGAGAGGGAGAGAGGGAGAGAGGGAGAGAGGAGAGAGGGAGAGAGGGAGAGAGGAGAGAAGGAGAGAGGAGAGAGAGAGAGAGGAGGGGAGGAAGGCGGGAGAGAGGGAGAGAGGGAGAGAGGAGAGAGGGAGAGAGGGAGAGAGGAGAGAAGGAGAGAGGAGGAGAGAGGGAGAGAGGAGGGGAGGAAGGCGGGAGAGAGGAAGAGAGGAGAGAGGGAGAGAGGAGAGGAGAGAGGGAGGGAGGAGGGGAGGAGGGCGGGTGGCAGAGCACCTGCAGGAGCCGATGACGTTATCGCGCAGCACGTTTTCGTTCCAGATGACGACGCAGAGCTCGTTGAGACCCGGCAGCAGCGAGAGCGTGAACGTGGCGTTGAACGCGGGGTTCGTGCCGCCGTCTGGCGCGGATAGCGGCGCGGATAGGGGGACGAGGGAGGCAGGGGCAGAAGGAATTCTTGTGGCGCCTCAAGACTTGAGAGCGTGAACGCGGCGTTGAACGCGGGGTTCGTGCCGTCGTGTGGCGCGGATGCGGACAGAGTCACGCAGATGAGGTGAATTTTGACGCGCCTAAACAATCGCCCAGATACAGACAGAGACATGCACATGATCACGAGTCACGAGTCACGACCCGGGAAAGCGGGGTAAGGGACGCTTTTATGTTGCACTGGTGCGACGCAGAGCTTCAACAGTACGGGGCTGAAGGGCAACAGCCCGGCGTGCCACGCAAATGATGCGCGGCTTTTGTCCTACCCGGGCGGCGCTGCGCTGCGCTATGCTCATAGCAAGCGATGCGCGCTGCCATCCCAGCGCGATGCAATTTTATGCGATGCGATGAGCGTTTGTGTACCTATGTCTGTCTTGGATCGGAAGCGCTGTTGGCCGTACTCGAGAACGATGTACGGGTCCTGGCGCGTGAACAGCTCCTTGTCCGACAACCCCACTCCGCCCACCACTGCGCGCGCACGCCGGGGGAGACGCGGAGAGGCGGAAGAGAAGGGGGGAGGGAAAGAGGGGGAGAAGCGGAGAGGCAGAGAGAGGAGTGAAAAAGCCGTGTGCGGGTGGCACGCGTGTCGGCGCGCGCGAGGATTAAGATGATTCTGATCAGACGTTGCCCCGCTTAAGGTATCTAGACCGGTTCAGGTTTCACTCATCCTTGCCGGGGAACAAATATCGCTGAGCACACATGGCAGAGTATTTATTGCTGAGCTGCTGAGCATGCAGCGATGTCCTACGAACGACGAAAATCAGGCGCTGCGGTACTCTAGCGCTATTAGTGGTACGGTTCACACGAACCGCGACCCGAGCACGAAACGCTTCTTTATTTTCAGTCAGACGAGGCGCAGGTGGGTTGGGATGGGAAGCGGGCCTGCCCCTAATTCAGTCAATATCTGGGGTGCAGATGTGTCTGATTGTATCCGTACCTGTCACTTCGAGAGTATTTGACATAACGCTACGGATGTATGTAACTGGTGTCGACGGAGCAAATTTTTAATTACAAACGAGCCCGTAATTCTAAACAAAACTGGATGATTAGAGGTCGACGACGACGGAAGGAGCGATTAGCTGAAAGTCTTCTTAGAGCTCGTTTCTGTGGACTTCGTATGACAGGCTTGTGAGCGTTTGTGATCGAAAGAGCCAGCAAGAGAGGTAACAGTAGGAGGTGAACAAACTCCAAGGACAGCCGTTGTTGGAGGTGATATTTGTAGAAGCGAAGAGAAGAGGAGGCGATTTGAGCCAAGTAGCGAAGGTAGCCGGGAAGGACGCCGCATAAACGTCGCGCTTCGGGGTCCACACCACACGCAAAAAAGTTTGTTGCAGGCGCTGCTCCCGCGCCCATCGTGGCTGGTGCAAGTGCAACCCCGCCCCGCGCTGCTGAAATGGGTTGGCCTTCATCTTCCCCGAAGGCGGCACGTCACCATGTGCGTCTCTGCAGCGCTGTTCAGGAAAAGGTTTGGATATTGCGGATTAACTCGAATTGAATTCTCTATACCAGAATTTTCCAGCAGTCCCGCAAAGCTGCAGGGTTTGAACGGAGTACATAGACAAAGAGACTGTTGAGCTGACCCTAGAAAATACGTTCGTAGTTTTTTTTTGCATCGGGCAGGTGACGCTTGCCATGGGATTGACACGGTTGCTGAAAAGAATATGACGTGGCACCAGCCCACATTGCCCATCATGCAGCACCAGAGACCACAACGCTGGGCAAGTGTGTCAGGTCAATACATTCAAGTGAAATAACACGATTGATATTCTGTACCGGTACAGTGCACCACCTTATGAGAATATGTAGAGTCCTGTGGATAACTGTTGTTGTGGGAATACGAATCAGATGCTGTAGTAACATTGGGCTTCATCATCAGCTACTAAGGAATCGATTCTGATTAGCGGAACAAGCTGTCATACTAGCAAACAATATGGCACAACAGAAGCCAACATACATGCACACTAGCCTAAAATCCTGCACAAATCCTAGTATAAATACAATAGGCTGGCTTGGCCAGCAGATATACAATCATGAACACTTCCATAACAGCCTGCTATCTCCAACATGGAAGTGCTGACTAATTTTTAATGTATCGGCAAACCTGGATGGATGGTCTCTATCAAGATATCTAAACATGTCCCTTTATTGAGGTGCCCCTTAGGTGACGCGGCTCTTTTTTGTTGCCGCTTCCTCTCACCTCCCTCCTAAGTTACGCTCAAGGTCGTGCTGCTGCTGCTGCTGCTGCTGCTGCTCCTGCTGCTTCACCCTGACACCCCCGACTCTTTCCTGCCACAAGCTCGGCCTTCCCCCCATCATCATCACTTGCTGCTGCTGGATCGCTCACCTGCGGTTTTTCCCACCCTGCTGCTTCTCCTACCACCACTGCTGGTGGACAAACTAGAGCTTCTACGCACAGAGGTAGCTGTGCCTGTGTCCCTGCTGCTGCTGCCTTTGCTCCTGCTACTGCCACTGCTATTATCATTGCTACCACTGGTGACTGTGGTGGTGAGGCTGCTGCTGCTGCTACTCCTGCTCCAGTTGCTCCCTTTCCTGCTGCCCTCCTTGGTCTTCCTGTCCCTGCTACCTGACCTAACACTACTGCTGCTACTTGCTCTACTTGCAGCCAGTCCGCTATCACACTCCAAGTTTCCAACAGTGGAGTCACTATGGCTATGCTTACTCAAACCTGTGCCTAAGCCACCACCAGCAGGAGCGTTGCAACTGGCACTATCGCCAGTGCTGATAGCACTACTCATAGACCCACTTATACTACCATCAACACCACTGCTGCTACCATCGCAGCCCACATGCTGCTGCTGCTGCTGCTGCTGCTGCTGAGATGTGCCGTCACGGACACGAGAGAGCGTCTCACCCCACTCGATCCGCTCACTGTTGCCCTCTTCCACCAGAGCCATCAGCCGCCTCACTTCTTCCGCCCGCGATTGCGCGGCGCCTGCCGCTGCAACCGACACACCAGGTCCGGTAACAGCAGCTGCAGTGCCAGAGGGATTACGGGCAAATATTGCATCTGCTTCTCCTCTCGCTCCATCAGCAGTGTCAATGCTGCCTCTGCTGCTTCTACTGCTTGCCCTGCTGTGCCCAGTACTATCCCCGCCGCCCCGGCTCTTCCTGCGACGGTGTTTCTCAGCGCTCGTGCTGTGGCTTCCAGTTCCAGCAGCTGCCAGCCCTGACACAGCAGCAGCGGCAGCAGCACCAGGAGCAGCATCGAGACCCGGACAGGGGGCGCTGCCACTTTTAGACAATGACCGGATAATGCCTCTTGCCTCGCTCTTCTGCTGCCGCGGTTGCTGCTGCTGCTGTTGCTGGTGAGGGTTGTGGTGGGAGGAGGAAGCGGAGACAACCTGGGGAGAGCCCCTGCTGGTTGCAGATGTGGTGGCAGAGCGGGAGAAGGAGTGCGAGCGAGAGTGGGCGTGCGACGCTGGGTGCGATGGAGAGTGCGAGTGGGAGCGGCGCACTGCTTGTGGCGGCATGGAAGGCGCATTGTCCTTGTCGGCTGATGGATTCCCGAGGGGATGAGAGGGAAGGGGGGGGGGGGGGGGAGGGGGGGCGAGTGAGAGGAGATGTGGGAAGACAGAGCATAATGAGAGGATTGAAGGGATGGGGGGCGAGCACACAGAACCAAGGGGTAAAGAGAAACGAAAAAGTGAGAGGTCAGAGCGAGAGGAGCCGATTTGTGCCTGGTTTATGGGCTTGTTTTGTGTGACCTAAGATGCTAGTGTGACGGAGCAGCAGCAGCGACAGCAGCGGCGGCAGGAGCAGCAGCAGCAGCAGTGACAGCAGCAGTGGCAGCAGCAGTGGCAGCAGCAGTGGCAGCGGCAGTGGCAGCCGTGGCAGCGGCAGCAGGAGCGGCAGCGGCAACAGCAGAGGCAGTGGCAGCAGCAGCGGCAGCGGCAGCAGGAGCGGCAGCGGCAGCAGGAGCGGCAGCGGCAGCAGGAGCGGCGGCAGCGGCGGCGGCAGCGGCGGCGGCAGCAGCGGCGGCGGCAGCAGCGGCGGCGGCACCGACCTTGCAGGATGCGCTCGAGGGTGGCAGCAACGAGGTCAAAGGGCGGGCGCAGCAGCGGGTCGAAGCTGACACAGGTCTGCGCGAGCAGCGCAAAGGAGTGGAAGGAGTCGTGGCGGGCCGGCAGGCGCGACTCCAAGAGGAACGGCTCTATCAGCTCGTCCCACCGCCTCTCCTCCAGATACGGCTGCGCCTGTGGTGGGGGGAGAAGGGAGCGAGGGGTAGACAAAAGTGGGGAAAGGAACACGGGGGTAAGGGGGGAGGAGAGGGGGAGACAAGCGGGGGAAGCGAGGAGGGAGGGTGGGAAAAAATGCGGGAGGGGAGCAGGGGGAAACAGGAGTGGGCATGGGGTTGAGAGAGAAGGCGAGGGAGGATGGAGAACAAATGGGGTGAAAGAGGGTGTGTAAGGAAGTGAAAAGGGTGCTTGAAGGATGTGGAGGCCAGTAGGTTGTGTGCAGCAGTAGGTCTGCTGCTGCAGTAGGCCAGTGGGTAGGGATGTTGTACGTACCCAGTTGACGAGCGGCCTTCTGTCGGCATCCACGGGGTCTCTGCCTGTGAGCAGCTGCAGCAGCACCACTCCGAACCTGGTGTGATAGCGCACAAGGGGGAGAAAGGTTGATAAGAAGAGGGGGGGAGGAGGGAGAGGGAGGAAGAGGGAGAGGGAGAGAAGGAAGGGGGAGGGAGCGTGAGGGAGACAGGAAGGGCGAGAGGGAGAGCGAGAGGGAGAAGGAGATGGTGAGGTGAATGCATATGGAAATGCATACGGCCATTTGTAAAGCGATGCATGTGTGAATCTACAAGAGCACACACACACACGCACCGCCTGCTCAAAACCCCACAGAAGCCTCACTCACCTGAAGCAGTCAGAAGCGGCGCTGATCTTCCGCAGCTTGGGAGCCATGTGGCTGATGGTTTTAGTGATATCATGATATGCTCCTAGTCACCAGCAAGCAACCAACCCCCACAGCAGCCTCACTCACCCGAAGCAGTCAGAAGCAGCGCTGATCTCCCCTTCGAGCAGCAGCTCGGGTGCCATGTGGCCGATGGTGCCCACGCCCAGGTCCACAAACTCCACCAGCCGCTCCTCTGCCAGCCCTGTCGCCTTGCTCACCACACTCTCCGTGCGCCGAATCAGCTTCGCACACCCAAAGTCCGCCACCTGAGGGGTGGAGGGAGGGAAGGGAACGGCAGGGGGAAAATAGGAAGGGAAGGGCGGCGGGGAAAGGGAGTGTGGGGAACGGGGGAGAGTGGGGAGACATGACACCCAAAGACTGCATTTGTCTCTTGCAAAGGGCACTGGGCTGGCTGGCAGGGTGAATAGCGCACCTTCCCTCCCCTCCCCTCTCGTCCCCTCTTCCCCTCCCCTTTCCCCCCTCCCCTCCCCTCCCCTCCCCTCCCATCTCTTCCCCTCCCATCCCCTCCCATCTCTTCCCCTCCCCTCCCCTCCCCTCCCCTCCCCTCCCCTCCCCTCCCCTCCCCTCCCCTCCCCTCCCCTCCCATCTCTTCCCCTCCCATCCCCTCCCATCTCTTCCCCTCCCCTCCCCTCCCCTCCCCTCTCTTCCCCTCCCCTCCCCTCCCCTCCCCTCTCTTCCCCTCTCCTCTCCTCTCTTCCCCTCCCCTCCCCTCCCCTCTCTTCCCCTCCCCTCCCCTCCCCTCTCTTCCCCTCCCATCCCCTCCCCTCTCTTCCCCTCCCCTCCCCTCTCTTCCCCTCCCCTCCCCTCCCCTCCCCTCTCTTCCCCTCCCCTCCCCTCTCTTCCCCTCCCCTCCCCTCTCTTCCCCTCCTGTCCCCTCTTCTACCAGTAGCGCTGCAAGCAAAAAGCCTCTAGAATTTTATGTCATGTGCTGGATGGAAGGTGGGGACGGACAGGAAGAAGAGACTGTGCCTTACCTTAGCCTCGAAGCTGTTTGTAAGGAGGATGTTGGAGGCCTTGATGTCCCTGTGCAGGATCTGCAGGGAAGAGGCGAGAGGTTGGGAAGAGGTGGGAAGGGCAGAGAACGTGGTGAGTGGAACGAAGAGGGAGAGGGTGGCAGGAGTGATGAGGCTAGGAGGGGCAGAGAGGTTAAGGGGAAGGAGGAGGAAGAACAGAAGGAAAAACGACTAGACGTAAGGAGACAGAGGGTGTTTCGAACAAAGCAGAAGAGGAGGTGGTGGAAGGGTTAAAGATAACAGCAGGAAGCGAGGAATATGTTATCCGTGGGCTGAAAGAGGGAAGCGAAGTTACATGGAGGTAGAAGGGAGGCAGACGGAAAGTGGGGGAGGGAGAACAGAGACAAACAGAGATGGGGGTTGGGAGATGAGGGAACGATGGAAAAGCAAACGGAGCAAGGCACCTGGGGTCGTTGGGCATGCAGGTAGCGAATGCCCTTGGCGGCTCCTATGGCTATCCGCAGCCTCCGCTCCCATGGCAGCGGGCCGTTCTCACTGAGCTTGCTGCCTGCCAGGGGGACAACGGCATGGATACATGTGCAGGTGGGTTGGGTGGATGGATGGGTGGGTGGGTGGGTGGGTGGGTGGGTGTTGGCAGGGGCGAATGGGCAAGGGAGGATGAGGAGGCATGCACGCACACGAGGGCTGTTGTCACTGCGCTTGCTGCCTGCCAGGGGACCATGGCAACGCATGCAGACGCGTGTGACGACAGGTGGGTGGGGTAATGAAGGGTGGGTGTGGGGGAGGTGGGGGGGGGGAGGGAGGATTAGAGGCATGGGCGCACATGTGTGTGTGACAGTGCGTATCTGAGAGGTGTGCACACTGGGAGGTGTGCACGCTGGGAGGTGTGCACGCTGGGAGGTGTGCACGCTGGGAGGTGTGCACGCTGGGAGGTGTGCACGCTGGGAGGTGTGCACGCTGGGAGGTGTGCACGCTGGGAGGTGTGCACGCTGGGAGGTGTGCACGCTGGGAGGTGTGCACGCTGGGAGGTGTGCACGCTGGGAGGTGTGCACGCTGGGAGGTGTGCACGCTGGGAGGTGTGCACGCTGGGAGGTGTGCACGCTGGGAGGTGTGCACGCTGGGAGGTGTGCACGCTGGGAGGTGTGCACGCTGGGAGGTGTGCACGCTGGGAGGTGTGCACGCTGGGAGGTGTGTGCAGTGCAGAGACGTGGAGGCAAATGGCAGCTGGCCATGCACGACAGTGGGAAAGGCATAGCGGTTCTAAAAACGACGAGCACTCTCAAGGCTACCCCCCCCCCCCCCCCCTTCCCCCTTCAACAAACACACACACACACAGACCCACACAGACCCCCCCACACACACACACCTGTGAGGTGATCCGTGAGCGACCCATTGGCCACAAGCTGGTACACGAGCATCCTCTGCGTGGTGGTCATGCAGAACCCCATGAGCTTCACCAGGTGCCGGTGTGCCGTGCGGGACAGCAGCTCCAGCTCCGTCACAAACTCCCCGTCGCCCTGCACGGACCCTCTCTTCAGCACCTTCACCGCCACCTCCTCAAACGGCGGCGCCGGCAGCACACCTCCATACACCGTCCCGAACCCGCCCTGCCCGAGGATATTCTCCTTGGAAAAGTAGTTGGTTGCAAGCTGGAGCTCGGACAGCTGGAAGTGCACGCGCTTGGGCTGGTTTATCCCGTTGTATTCGTACTCGTAGGGCAGGGATGCGGAGCGGCCGAGGCTGGTGACTGCGGTGGTGGCGAGCGCGATGGCGGACGCGGCTTTGAGCGACGCGGAGGAGGCCGCTTTGCGGGAGGCGGAGGCTGCGCGGGAGATGGTGAGGGAGCGGAGCGGGGGGGTTCGCGCGGCGAGGAAGGGGCGGGGCGGCTTGCGGTCCATCTTGGATAGCGTGTCTGGTGGCGGCGGTGGGAGGGAGGTGGGGGAGAGAGGGGAGAGAGGACAGAGAGGGGAGAGAGGGGAGAGCAGGCAGAGAGAATTTTGGGATGTCTCAAAAGGGGCGGGGCGGCTTGCGGTCCATCTTCGCGGGAGAGAGGGGAGAGAGGACAGAGAGGGGAGAGAGGGGAGAGCAGGCAGAGAGAATTTTGGGATGTCTCAAAAGGGGCTGGGCGGCTTGCTGTCCATCTTCGATAGCGTGTCTGGTGGTGGGGTGGAGGAGGAAGCGGAGGGGAGGGGGTGGGGGGTGCAGAGAGGGAAGAGTGGAGTGGGGGAAGAGAGAGAGGAATTGGGTGAGAGGGCCATAAGAGGGTCTTGCAAAGAAGAGCGGAGGGGGAGCGTGGAGAAAAGGGAGATAGGGGTGTGAGTTCGGTGGAAGTGGCAATGTGGCAAGGAGGGGGAGAAGAGACGGTGAGAGTGATATTGTGGCGGTTGGAGAGGAGAGGAGGGTAGACGCACGGAAGCACGGAAGAAAATAATCAAGTTGGAGGAGGAGCAAGTGAGAGAGGGAGGCGAGTGGTCAGCTTCAGTGCTGTGGTGATGCGTGCTGTGTGCTGTGTGCTATGTGCTGTGTGCTATGTGCTGGGTGCTATGTGCTGTGTGCTGTGTGCTGTGTGCTATGTGCTGTGTGCTGTGTGCTGTGTGCTATGTGCTGTGTGCTGTGTGCTGTGTGCTATGTGCTGTGTGCTGTGTGCTGTGTGCTGTGTGCTGTGTGCTGTGTGCTTTGGGCGTTTCAGAGCAAGCCTCAAAAGGAGCAGGAAGGAGCAGCAAGGAGGAAACCAAAACTCACTGCTCTTCCTCAGCAGCGCGCCAAAGCTGGCACCCATCCGCCCTCCAAAGCTCTTCCGCCGCAACAACTCCGGCTCCTCCTCCTCCTCTTCCTCCTCCTCCTCCTCCTCGTCTTCTTCCTCCTCCTCTCCCCTCCTCACCACCCCTCCCCTCCCCATCTCCTCCCCTTCTCCTCCTGCTGCAACCACTCCACACTCCACCCAACCCCCTTCCTCTCCGACCTGCTGAAGCCCTACAGCAATCACAGAAGCAGAGGCAGAAGCAGCCAAGGACCCAGCAGGCGCACTCAGACTCTTCTTTCCTAGATCTGGCTGGCCTTCAACTCCTCCCCCTCCCTCCACTGTCCCCTCTTCTTCCCCTTCCCTTCCCTCCCCCCCACTCCTCTGCCCGCCGATAACGTCTCCCTCCTCCTCCTCCTCAGCCTCCTCCTCCGCCTCCTCCTCCCCGTGTCTATCCTCCACGCTCCCAGTCTCCTCCGTGTAATCAGGGTTTTCCTCCTCGTGATACATACCCACTGCATCCTCCGCCTCCCCCTGATACACACACTCTGCATCCTCCTCCTCCTCCTCCTCATAACACATACTCTCTGTCTCCGCCTCCCCATGATCCATGTATCCTGTATCTTCCACCTCCTCCCCCTCCTCCTCCTCATGGTCTACAAGCTCTACCTCATAATCCTCCACCTCACCATATGCAAGCCCGTACCCGTGCGCATACCCATGCGCATACCCACACGCACACCCATGCCTTAACCCGCCCCCTGACTCTGAATCCTCAGATGCAAGTTCCGTGTGCCACAACCCCGCGTCCGCCTCCTCATGCCCCTCTGAGCACCCATCCCCACTCCCACCCCCATGCCCATGCCCATGCCCATGCCCATGCCCATGCCCATGCCCATGCATGCACCCATCCCCATGCACATCACTCTCGAGCCGAAACCCGTCCATATGCGGATGCCCATGCTCATGCTCATGCCCATGTGCATGTGCATGCTCGTTCTCCACGCTGCAATCATCCCCATGTTCGTACATGCACTCCTCACCATCATCGTACCCATGCCCATGCGCATCCGCATGCGCAAGACCCCACTCCTTATGCTCCTCCCCCTGCTCTTCCCTGTCAAAATCGTGCAGGCCATACGTGCCACCCATACCATCCCCACCATCCATACCATACCGAACATGTACGAGATCAGAGGACGACCTCACGGGACCTCCAGCAGCAGATGGAGCATGACAGGCACCAGAAGGGGGATCGTGAACATCACAGGCATCGTAAGCAGCATGAGCAGCATCCGGATTGTGAGCATGATGAGAGGCATGGTCGCCCACCCCACCATACCGCTCGCTCCAGCCACCATGCTGCCACGTCCATCCCCCCGACACCGCATCACACTCCGCCTCTATCTCCGCCTCCCCCTCCCCCATCCTCCTCTCAGCACCACCACCACCACCACCACCACCACCACCACCACCAGCAGCAGACAGCAAGGCTGCTGGGTCTGTCCTCTGAGAGGGTAGCGTAGCGCCATGGGGTTGAATCGCCCCACTGCACCCGCTCCCATCCTCCCTGCCCGTCCCTGCAAGCCCCGCACACTCACTGCTCCCATCTGCACCCCCTGCTATCCTCAATAGCATAGCCTCTATACCCGTTCCCTCTGCTGCTCCTGCTTCTGCTGCTCTTTCTGGCACCCTTCTTTCTGCCAATCTCAATCTGTCCGGTGTCTTTCCCCTCTCAGGTGTTTTTCCTCTCTCAGGTGTTTTTCCTCTCTCAGGTGTTTTTCCCCTCTCAGGTGTTTTCAGCCTCTCAGGTGTTTTCAGCCTCTCAGGTATTTTCAGCCTCTCAGGTGTTTTCAGCCTCTCAGGTGTTTTCAGCCTCTCTCCCCCTCGAGCCCACTCAGGTGCTCTAACTCCCCCTCCTCCCATCCCCACTCTCTCCGGAGTTCTCGCCCTTCCAAGCCCACCTGCTTTCCTCTCAGGAGTCTTCCCCCTCTCCAACTCCTCCCCCAACACCTCCTCCACCCAGTACCGCCCCACACCGCTCTTCCACGCGTCCCACCCATCTGCTCGCCTCGCCCCTGGCGACGCCCGCACCTGCAACGGGGAGGACGCCTGTACAGGCGATCCCACCACCTGCTCTCCTCCTGTCGCCGCAGGCAAACTCGGGTTTCTCCTTAACGGGGATGCTTGCACACCTGATCCCACATCCCGACGTCCCTGCTCCACACCCAACGAACCCACTCCTCCAGATTCAGCCCTTATCCCTACCCCCACCCCTCCCATGCTGCTGCCTTCCTGACGCTCCTTACCGCCCCCACCGCACACCTCCCCCCCTCCTGCCTGTCCCTTCCCTCTCCCCGTCTCTCTCCCTCGCCCCATCTCCCTCTCTCCTCCTCCTCTTCCCCCGCCTTCCATCACTTCAGCAGCAGACGGCAGTCGTCTCATCAGCACCTCATCCTGCGCCGCCACACGCGCCTCATGCCCTTCCCCCACACCACCCGCCGCTCCCCCGCGCCTTTCCCCACACTCTCCCCTTCCCCCCTCCCCTTCCCTCTCCCCCTGCCCTCCGCCTCCGCCGTTCCCGCCGTCCACCAGCGCGAGCAGCGCTTTCAGCTGCTCCTCCTCCGTTTGCCACGTGGCGTGAACCCCCAGAACGGACTCCACCGTGTGGAACCGACCTGCGCGCGGATTGCCCATGGACAGCGTTCGCTTGTGCAGCAGCTTCTTCCCACCAGACGCCAAGGCAGCGGCAGAGGCAGACCCAAGGGTTCCTGACCGTATTGGGGAAAAAGCGAGAGAGAGAGGGGGAGAGAAGAAAGACGCAGCAGCAGCGGTAGCGGTGGTGGTGGTAGTAGCAGCAGCGCGAGCAGCAGCAGCAGCAGCACGGAAGCGAGCAGCGGAGAAGGAAGCAGAGGTGGTGGTGAGAGAGCGAGACATGCGTGGAACAAGGCCAAGTGAACTCCTGCGCTGCTGCCCCCCACCACCACTCACACCACCGCTCACGCCACCTCGCCCGCCCCCAGGCGGCCCCAGGTCCATCACCCCACCGCCTGCTGCACCCGCCCCACCACCACATCTCTCTGCCACCTTCCCACACGCGGCCCCTCTTGCTCCCAAATCCCCCGCTGTCACTGCCCCTGCTCCTGTCCCTGCTCCCCCCCCTGCTACCATCCCCCCTCCACCGCCCACGCCCCCGCCTGTGCGCGTCTCCGCGCCGTTCCCCCTTCGCCTCGCGCTCTCTATCCCATGCGCCACTTCCGCCCGTGCTGCTGCAGCCGCGGCGGCCAGTCGCCCCCGCCTCCCGCAGTCCGCGGACAGGTTCGCGCGCACTCCCCCGCTTCCCCCCTCGTCCTCCGCTTCCCCGTAGTACGTCCGCTCCGAATCCCCCGTCGCACTCTCGTCTCCCCCGTTCGCGGGCCCCCGATCCTGCGCCTGGGGGGCGCTGTAGGGGGCACATGACGGCGCGGAAGGCGAGGATAGCGCGGATGCGGAGCTTGACGCGCGCCGCAATGGGGACGGGCAGCGCGCGGAGGTGGTTGGCGGAGGTGTTTGAGCGCAAGCGTTGGCACTACTGCGACTGCTGTTGCTGCGGCTATTGCTAGGGCCAGTGAAACCGCTGAGATGGGCGGAACTGACACTCGACGGCGCGGGCTGCGCGGAATCCCAAGCGGAAGCGGAAGGGGTGGGGCGGACGGCGGAACGGGCGCCAGGACGCGCGATAAAAAGCGCACCGGGGGAAGCGGAAGCGCGAATTTCCTCCTCCGCGCCAGAGTCGCTCCAGTCGTCCTGCGCGCAGCTGCTGGCGCTGCGACAACTGCTGCTGCGCGGGATAGTCCTAAGGGACCCGCGGGTCGGGCGGGTGCCTGCGCTAGCCGCACCAGCAGCAGGGGCGGCGGCGGGGGAGTTTCGCGCCGATGCGAACTCGGAGTTGCGCGGAGAGATGAAGGGGAGTGGAGATGTAGGTCGGGCGGAACCAAGCAACGGGGATCGGGGGTGGGCGGACTCGGGAAGGGGAGATCGCGGACGAAGAGGCCCGGGGAGAGGAGAAACAGGGCGAGACAGGCGTGCGGAAGGGAGAGGATCGGGGGAAGGGGAGTGCAGGCGGAAGGCGGAGGGGCCTGTCTGCGCGGAAGGCGAGCGGAACACGGAGGATCCGCGCGAGAGAGGCGATTTCAGGCGGTGATCAGCGGGGCCCGGAACGGGGGACCTTGCGCGCTCCTCCCAAGCGGGGCTGAGCGGAGCGGAAGGAGACCCCGCGCGGGGTTCCGAGGAAGCCAATAACGGGGATTTTGGGCAAGCAATCGCGGCGCTGAGAAGGGGGGACCTGGGGCGGAAATCCGGCGACCCTACGTGCTGCTGCTGGCGTGGCCTAGAAGGGGAGGGCTGCGGGGACATCTGCGCGGGACTGGAAATACCCGGACTGCTGCCGCCATCGCCGCCGCCGCCGCCGCCGCTGCCGCGGCCGCACGCGGCCATTATATTCGATCCACGTGCCACGTAATGCGCTGTGCTTCTGCTGCTGCTGGCGCTGTTGCTGCTCGCACTCGTGTTGGTGCTGCAGTTGCTGCTGCTGCCGAAACTGCCGCCGCCGTAGCTGCTTCCAAAGCTCATGCTGCCCAGGCTGCTTCTGCTGAAGCTGCTCCCTGTCTTACCCTGTTGCGCCTGCCACTGCGCCTGCGGCTGCCCCTGCACCTGCGCTTGCGCTTGCGCTTGCGTCGAGGGGTCCTTCCGCAACGTCCGCCCGTCCCGCTGGCTGCTCCAGCCCTGCGGCCGGGAGGGATCCGCGGCAGCGTATCCGCCGCCTCCGCCGCCGCCGATGGCGGAAGCGCCACCTTCACCTGCGACTGTATCCTCGCTAATACCGCCGAACCTTCTGCGCGGCAGACCTTCTAAACTTCTGGTTAAGAAGTCGCCGGCCAAGGACGAGTCGCGAAACCCTACTCTCGCATGGTCAATGCCGTCGCCGTCGCCGTCATCGTAGTCGTCGATGTCGCCATCGCCTACTGCGGTAACTGTTGCCGCAGCCGCCGCAGCCGCCGCAGCAGCGATGGATCCTTCCGATCTCGAATCACCCGACTCAGACGACCGCCGCCGAGAGACGACTCCGCGCCGCTCTCTGCGACGAGACACGGAACTGCTACTAGCGGGGATCGAGCCGATTGCGGCAGCGGTGCTGCTACTAGCGGGTACAATCTTCGAATCGGCCTCGCTGTCGTCTCCGCTCTTCAGCATCTGAACGTACCGCAGGCCCATCCCGAGAGGTTCCGACTTGTCTCTAGCCCCTGAGGCCCCTTCTGCGCTCCACCCTGAAATTCCCCCTGCGCTTCCCCCTGCTGCCCCTTCTGAGCTTCCCCCTGCGCTTTTCCCTACACGGTTCGCACCAGCTCCTGAGCCTGGAGCCACACTCCCCCGGTTATGCCGTGATGCGCCAGGCGCTCGCGATCTCGGGTTACTGACAGACGCTCTGACGATGGTTGACGGGGATAATGAGGTTGTGCGTTCCGCGGAGTCTGCGGTTCTTAAATACTCTTCCGCGCGTCGCACCACGCCCGTGCCTCCCGCTGCCAACCTTGCGCTAGACCCCGCCCGAGCCCTATCCCCGTCCGCCTTCCCGCCTCCGCGCACTTTCCGCCCGCGCTGGCGGTCAGTGGAGAGGCTCCGGTTTCCGCTACTGGCTTCCGCCGTCATTTCGCTCGGTTCGCCGCAAACAGAAGAATCTCCGGCGCTGCTCCTGGAAGCACCTTGCATCTCATACATCAACACATCATCTGTGCATCTTGCGTTTCCGGTTTCCAGAGGCTCTGCGCCTTTCCCAAGGCCCTGCTTCTCCGCCCTGTGCCCTTGCCTCGGTTCCCTCGGCCTCTGTCGCTGCTCGTTGTGCTGCTGCTGCTGCGACTGCGTTGAACGCTGCTGTCGACTCCCTTGAACTCCCAATTGCGTTGAGCTAGTACCGAACACTAACGCGGGGGGGCTTACCGGCCACAGGTATGCCCCGGGGGACGGAGAGAGAAAGTGTGACGGAGACAGCGGGATCTGTGCAGACTCCATGGCGTAAAATTACTGCTCGGCGAGGAGGATGTGCCTCTGCGGAGAGTCTCCGTCGCCAGTGTCGCCCTAGCGCTTTGGTTATTGTAGTGCCGATGCGAGGACCAGATGACTGATGGTGGAAAGTGGTCGTGGTCGTGTGATGATGCATGGTTCATAAATTCTCTACCTGGACAACAAAGGCGAACTGCGCCGATTAGGAGTTGACCTGCTGATGAACAACCAGACGCAATGGCGACCACCACTGAACAGCAGCTGATCCACCACCCCCGTTGACTACACTTCGAATGATAATGTAAACCGAACGCCAAGTTCAACCATTGCAAAATGCAAGTTCTTGTTGGTTTGCTTGAAAATACATTTTCCCCGTAACTCCTGAGTGGTGTGCCTGTCGTCAAGCAGAAATTTCGGTTGGGTCCAGCAGCGGGAATGTCTCACAATTTTGTTTCGTCTGAAGCCCACTTGTTCCCCCGGTATTGTCACGCTACTGAGGAGAGGATGGATGGAAGGTGATGTGTGCCACTTGGGTCATCGTGACGACAAGCCACGACGACATCACTCTGTACACTAGTCTGGTCTGCCGTGGGCCAAGCCCTCGATTTAGTCAGCTAGGAGCTCCCTATGTCGTTTCCAACCACTAACGAGCTGCTTCATCATCGTCCACTGGCCCTTGAAAGTCCTCTTCCAACAATGTTGGCCACTTGCAAGAACCTTCAGAATGTTTGAGCGGGGGAGGTGGGGGGGATGTGAGAGTACGTGTTTTTTTTTGTGGGGGGGGAGGGGGAGGGAGGATGAAGTACACGATTAAATTGTAAAAGTGTGAGAGTGAGTGTGGATGGTGAGTGAAACAACGGGATTTAATATTCAACAAACACGGTTTCAGACTGGAGAAATGTTTATTTCTCCATAAATCCACTCGGGTCGACAGCATGGGCAACTGTTGTGCCGCTTGAACAATTGAAGACCACCAACAACCTCAAGATCCTTGTTCGGTTTGTCCTCTGTACAGTGTTGCCTTGTTGAGCTCGAGGAAGTTGGAGGAAGGCACCCACACACGCGGCCACTGCAGAAAGGAAAACATCACGGAAGAAACATAATTGTACGTTATATGGCACTGGTGTAGCACAATGATTTGTGTACAGAATGAGGCAAATAAAGCTATTTGTTTTCAAGCTTAACTTAACCTCAAGACCAGCATTGACCATTCCCAGTGCCTCATTATAAATAATGACATTGTATTTTTATAGAATAATTTAATTTTCTACCTGACATATTATGCACGGAGTACAATTATTATCCAGAACAGAAACGTATCATCTATAATAAGATTGAAACGCATGTACCAGTATAGACTGTTGTCAGAATTGTAGTTGCATCGGGTGTCAGAATACAGAGTAATTCTTGACTCGACACGTGTTCATGCCACACAGGTGCATGTGCTTTTCGTCCACCTGGCGAACATCATCGCGACTGCATTTCGCCTTCCCTTGCTGTCGCTTCGTGCCCGCTTCGGCTTCGTTCCCAGAGCGGATCGCTCCCAAATTCCTCGTGAATTTCGATTGGAATTTCCAACCTTCAACTCGCGCATAGCCCTTCCGTCAGACCTTCTCGTTTCCAAGCGAAAGAGGGCGTCCCTTCTGTTTCCCTCTCAACGCAACACGCTTGTGAATCCAGCGCTACTATTAGCACATTGTTTTCAATTTTCTACCCACAGCATAGCCGAGCCACCCGGAATCATGGAGTCCGAGACACACCGGAGGTCCCCAGTGGCGGTAGTAACGACGCAAGCGTCCGCGCCATCCACAGCGACGGGAGGAGGAGGAACGACGAATGGATCCTCGTCCACCGCTTCCAAGTGGTGGGGCAGAGGCGAAAGCGCAGGCGGCGACTCGCACACGGGAGCCGCCAGGAGCAAGACGACCAACAGCAGCGCCGGCGGGAAGGCCAAGCCCGCGGCGACCGCCGCGTCACCGTCGCCGCCGTCCGCGGTGATGTTCAGCGAGATGGGGCAGGCGTCCAAGGATCTCTTCAGCAAGGGCTTCTCCACGGCGCAAGTGGTGGCGCTCTCCGCGGTGGCGCCTGGCAGCGTGGCGCTGACGACCATGGTGACTAAGGTGCAGCAGCTCGTGATGGGGCTTGTCACCGCCACGGTTCCGCTGCCAGGGGACGCGGTGTGCCAGGTGTCCGCGAGTTCTCTCGGGCAGATCACGGTGAGGCCCGCCTTCTCGTGCCTGTACGGTGCTGTGATTTGCTGCCAGGCCTGCTGGATGTTAATTCATCGGGTACATTCTGCACGTGCATGTGCATGTGGATGTGGATGCTGTCGCGAAGGATCTTTTGTTTTCTTGTGGTGCTACAGAATTCGAAACGGACGTATCTCTCATTCGCTACGAGACGCTCCAATTCCGGATTTTTTTTCCCAAGTGCATTCTGGTTCAAGTCCCCACTCTTGCCTCGCCTCTTCTTCCCCCCCAACCGCTACCACACCGTGCAGACGAGCATCAAGGTCCCGGAGATGGCGCGTGGGCTGGCGGCGACAGTGGCAGCAGAGTTTCCTCCCCGCGCAGCTGCCTCCACCATCTCCCTGGGCCCGCCCGTGTCCACCAGCACGGCTCCAAGCCTGCCGCACGGCGTGACTCTCACGCACCGCACGCAGTACTCAGCTGCGTCGGCTGGGACCACGTTCAGCACGCAACCTGTTCTCACTAGCAGCCTGGCCCTGGGTGGTGTTGGTGGCGGCGTGTGTGTGGGCGGCGAGGTGGCGTATGATACGGCTTCGCAGAACCTGATCAAGTCCAATGCAGGTGAGATGATTTGACAGCATCAGGGTTTGTCGGTTTACACTGACGCGGATTCCTCCCTCCCATTTTCGCTCGCGCATAAAACATTGACTACCTCTGTCTCACACACTGATTGTTAGCTTGTCATGTCACTGCCGAACCTCCCATTCCACCTCACCTCACCCATCTCCCATCCGATTCCTCTAATGGTACCGCAGGCATAGGCATGGCGCATGGGCGCATGTCAGCAGCAGCGTACCTGGACATGCAGGTGCGGGACGTGGTGCACCTGCAGTACGCTCAGGATGTGGACGAGAAGCTGGCGGTGGGGCTGTACCTGCAGCGCGCTCTCAAGGACTCCAGCAAGGATAACGTGGCGTATGCGCTCAAGTACCAGGTGGACGACAAGACCCAGCTCAAGGGGAAGCTCAACAGCAACGGGCTCTTCCACGGCTGGCTGCAGGTGAGAATCAGACGAGGGGTCCGGGGAGACTAGCAGGTGAGGGGAGGGCTATTTGCTGCTGCGTGTGAGTGAGGTGGGGAGGGGATGCCTGTAGGGGCGGGACGAGGTGCACCTGCAGTGCAGCATGCTCAGGACGTGGATGAGAAGCTGGCAGCGCGCAGCTGGCAGTGGGGCTGTACCTGCAGCGCGCACTCAAGGACTCCAGCAAGGACAACGTGGCGTATGCTCTCAAGTACCAGGTGGACGATAAGACCCAGCTCAAGGGGAAGCTCAACAGCAACGGGCTCTTCCATGGCTGGCTGCAGGTGAGAGTGAGAGGAAGAGGGGTATTTGAGAGTGGTAGGCGAGTCTCGTGGGTGAAAGGGGCTTGTTTGCTGCTGGGTGTGGGTGGGGCGCGGATGACGTGGCCGGGGTTGTGGGTGCGGGTGGGGTTGGTGCTGCTCTATATAATGCTGTGTTGGATGGTGATTATCATGCCCTTACTGTGCTTTGCCTTGCCTTGCCTTGTCTGTGCAATGTGCTGTGGATGCAGCACACGCTAGGAGGAGGGGCGACACTGAGTGTGACAGCGGAAGTGGACACCAGCAAGGCATTCAACAATGGTGGTGCTGGGCAGCAGCAGCAGCCGCAGGGAGGGGAGCAGAGGGATAAGGGCATTGGGGCGACTAGGTTTGGATTTAGCCTTTCCATTGCCCAGTAGCTGATACTGGCGATAGGAGCAGTCGCTGCACTGCATAAACTGCTCCTTCCACCTCGAGCATCTGATGAAATTGTTATCCTTTAGGTTGTTTACTGTGTGCATGGTAATATGCTGTTTAGAGGATGAATGTAAAAAACGTGCATGACAGTTATTTCAGAATATGAACTGAGGCAATATATTTGTAGCGGTACATGAATGAATGTACAATATGCTTTTGACGCACCTGTGCTCCAAACATCTTCCAGCAAAGGTGTTTTCGAAGTCCCGGTTTGTTGCTGCTTACAAACTGGAAGGGGACAGATGGAGGAGGGACGAAAATGCATCCACACTTTTGAAAACAAAGCTAGGTCGTAATGTTCAAAATGATGGGAGAAGAAATTTATGGGCATGGGCTATTGAGACGAGAGTGGGTGCAGAAAGCTCATGATCAAAAGCAACACGACACATTACACAACCAACGAAAAAGATGGAAGAAAATGGCACACAGCACACACATGGACAGCACCACGAACCTCAATGGGAAGATCAATCCCTGTGCTGTTGCCACATCAAACATCGCGTTGCTCCTGATACAATCTCCCGATCTGCAGTGTGATGATTTTTTTTCAAAACCAAGCAGCCGGCGCCACTGAAACACGCTTCCTCAAAGAGGTAGCCTCGGTCCAGCTTTCCTCCTTCCTTCCTCCTGGCACAGCCACCACCTCTCACGAAGGCACTTTCTTCACCAGCTTATGCAGCGTCGCCACCAGCTGCGCCGCATTCGCCGGCTTGGTCAAATACGCATCCATGCCAGACGCCAAGCAGTGCTCTCGATCACTCGCCATCGCATGAGCCGTCAGCGCCACCACCGGCAAATGCCTCCCATCCCCCACCTCCTTCTCCCTCGCCCTGATCCACCTCGTCGCCACGTACCCATCCATCCTTGGCATCTGGCAATCCATTATCACCGCATCAAACGGCTCTGCTTTCCCTGCCGCCGCCTGCTTCTCCCTCTCCAACACAGCTTCTGTCGCAGCCTGCCCGTCCTCCACTGCGACCACCGCCGCTCCCATCTTCTCCAGCATCATTGTCGCCAGGCGTCGCATCACCATGGTATCTTCTGCCAGCAGAACGCAGTACCCGCCCAGACGGAGACTACTCAGGGGTTTCCCGTTCAGCTGCCCCCGTCCCGTGGGGCTGCGGGGTGGTGGTGCCGTGCGCTGCGGGGTCGACGGGGCGGTGGGGGGGTGCGTTTTCGGGGAGGGGATCGCGAGCGAGGCGGAGGAGTTGGAGGAGGAGGAGGAGAAGGAGGAGGTGGAGGGGGCTGGGGCGGCGGCGGCAGCACGGGGGGTGAGGGTGGAGGTGGAAGCGAGGGCAGCGGCAGCGGTGAGTTGCGAGGAGAGGGGGATGGAGGAGGCAGACTGGCTCTTGAACATGGAGCGAGAGGAGGAAGAGTTGACAAAGCGCAGAACAGGGGTTTCCAAGGACTTGAAATTGTCAAGGCTCGATGGCCCTCCCACTCCTGCTGCTGCCACTGCTGCTGCTGTTGCTGACGCCGCCGCCGCTGCTGCAGCAGCAGCGCGTAGTCGGTCTTTATTCGGTACTGTGGCTGCTGCTGTCACTGGCAATGCTGCTAACGCCGCCGCTGCTGCTGATAATGCTGCTCCTGGGGATTTTGGTGCTCCTGCTGCTCTGGGCGATTTTGGTTCCGTTGCTGCTGCTGCTGCTGCTGCTAAATTTAATGGTGGTGATGCTGCTGCTGGCGATTTCGGTTTTGCTGCTGCTGCTAGTCGAGGTGTTTCTGGGGCCACATTCGCTTGTGCTGATACCCGTGTTGCACTCTTCCCATCATCCAACACAAACCCTGCTGGCTTGCACTCTCCAACTGCTGACGTCCCATTCCTCTCCTCCACCCTCACACCACATACCCTGTCATCGCCTTGACCCACATCCCTGGCACAGCAACCGGCGCCAGTAGCAGCAGCAGCAGCAGCAGGAGGAGGAGGAGGGGGTGTTGTGAAAGCAATAGCAGCAGCAGGATAAGCAACAGCAGCAGGAGAAGCAACAGCAGCAGGTGCATGATCACCGTCCACAGCACCCGCACCTTCCACCGCAGCACTCACTCCCTTTCTCTTCCTCACCACCTTCCTTCCTGCTTTCGCCCCTTTCTGTCCCTCAACGGTTTCCCCTGGCCCCCCGACAACCCCTGTCATCCTTGCCTTCCCTGCTTTACCTGCCTTACCTGCTTCCCCTGCCTTCACACACTTCTTTTTCTTCACTACCCCTCCCTTCCCTACCTTGCCCTCAGACTTGCCCAGCCAGGTCACGCCCTCACCAGCTGAACCCTCCCCCTCTGCCTCACCTCCCCCGCCCTCCCTGCCCTTCTTCCCACCCCCTTTGCTCCCCACTCTCTTCAAGACACCTGCACCCTTCTTGACCACTTTGCACCCACTCACTTCGCCCACCCCCTCCCCACATTCATCTCCTACTGCTGCTCTTTTCCCCACCCCCTTGCCCAATCCCTTGCCCTTTGCTTTCCCCACAGCTTTCCCCTTGACCTTCTCTACTGCCTTTCCAGCATCATCATCCTTCCCCTTCTTCCCCCCCTTCACTCCTTTAACCTTCCCTGTCAATCCCTTGCCACTACCTGCTGCCCCCTTCACCACCTTACGCACCTTCTTCCCCTTCCCTACAGTCTCAGATGCGGCAGCAGCAGCAGCAGTCAGCTCTGGAAGCCGTTCTAAACTCACCAATCCCTCCTCGCCCGCTCCTATCGCCCCCCCAATTCCCCCTGCCTCCTCTGCTGCTCCCACTCGCGGCGATGACCTCGGGCTCCGCTCAAAAGACAGTCGTCTCATCACAGTATTTACACCGTTACTGTCAGAGAATAGTCCTGGTATGGAATCACAATCACCAGCGGCGGCATGACCAAATGCAGCAGCAGCGGCCGCAGCAGCAAGATCATCCAGTGCAGCAGCAGAACCATCAACTGCAGCATCAAGTGCTGCATCAGCATCAAGTGGGTCATTGCTGCGCACATCACTCCCACTCCCACTGCCACCCAAGGGACTGAAACGCCTGCTGCTGCTGCTATCCTTGGCGACTGGATCATTCTCGTAATCCCCTTCCCCGTCTTCCCTGCCGCTGCTCCGGCTGCCCCCCTCTCTTTCTCTCAATCTTGCCTCTCTTTCTCTAAAGCTTGCCGTTCTCTCTCTGAAACTCCTCATCGCTCTCTCCCTGAAACTCCCACCGATTTCTACTCGCTTCCTGAACCTTCCTTCCTCTCCTTCTCCCTCCTTGAAGCTCCCACCAACTCCAACTCTTTCCCTAAAACTCCCTCCCACTGTTCCAACCCCACCTCGTTCCCTGAAGCTTCCTCCACCAGTGCTCCTCTCACTGAAACTCCCTCCAATCCTGCTTCCCCCTCCCCCTCCCCCTACCCGTCCTCCCAGCCCTTCCCTGAACCCTGGCAGTTGCTGCCGCTGCAGCGTGCGGGGGCCACTCTGCATCAGAGCACGAGAGTCGAATCTTACTTCGTGCTGAAACTCCCCCCGCGATCCCCCCTCCATGCCACCTGCCCGCCCCACCTCCAAAATCTCGGCCCCCATATCCCCGTGCCGCATCTCACCATCCTCCATCTCTCCCCTCTCTGCGTCCAGCCCATCTGCAGAACCCCTCAGTACCCTTCTCAACCCTCTCTCACCTCCTTCAATCCACGGCGCCCCCCCTTCCTCCATCTCCACTCGGCTTCGTTTCCCCCATCCCTCACTCGTCCTCGGCCTCCTCACACCCCCATCTGCCATGTCTACAGAATCCCTATCACCCCCTCTAGCACTGCCCATCTCTTCATCCCTTGCCGACAACCCTCCCACACTCCCCCTGCCGCTGCCAATCCTCCCACTGCCAGCGCCAATACCGCCGCTGCTGCTGGGCCTGCGGGCACTGCCTGTGTTCGCAGCACCAAAGGAGTTGCTGCCGCCGCTGCTGATGCTGCTGCTGCCCACAGTCGTCCTCACCGCTTCCTCAAAATGCCTCACAGCGTCTCGCACTGAAGGCCGTACCACCTCGTTGCCTCTCCCTCCTCTCTCTCTCTCGCTGCCGCCGTCTCTCTCCTTGCTCTCCCCTTGTGCCTCCACCCGGCCCTTAGACTGGCCGATTTCCCCCATGACTTCTTTCACTCCCCGTGCTGCATCCCTTGCTGACCCCTCTGCTCGCTGCAGCATTCCCATCCGCCCACCAGCACTAGCACTAGCAGAACTAGCATCATCATCAGAATTAGCCGGATCGTCATTGGAATGCTCTGCAATAGGAACTGCCACAGCGGCAGCAGCAGCAGCAGCAGCAGTACCACCACCACCGCCACCACTGCCCCAGCCACCACCACCCACGCCAGTACCCGCTGCTGCTTCCCCTCCTGCTCTCGCTCTACCCGCCACACCTGCTCCCAACGTACCAAACCCACCATACCCCCCCCCACCACCACCACTACCACCAACACCGCCGGGATTCCCGGATCCGCCTGCATTAACAGCTTCAACAGCAGCGCTAACGCCGGCGGCCACCATGCGCACATTGAACGACGCACTGATGCGCTGCCCCAGTGGACTCAACCCGGGAGCTGGTAGCCTCCCCAACGGCGGCCGCCCTGATAGGCCAGCATGGGTCGCCGGGCGAAGCATGTTCCCGCTGCCCTCCCTGCTCATACTCGCACTTGGCCCCAACCCCCTCGCTCTGCTCTCCGCAAAACCTCCTCCTCCTCCTCCTCCTCCTCCCCCTCCTGCTGCTGCTGCGGCGGCAGCAGCAGCAGCAGCGGCGGCTTCGCGGGTTGCAGTGGCAGCAGCGAGGGTGGCGCCGAGCTGTGCTCTGATAGCTGCAGCGCTGGACATGGTGCGAGCGAGGGAGGAGGGCGGGCAGCGTCCTGTGGAGGAGGAGAGTGCGGCGGAGGACGATCCGTCCGAATACGGCGTATCTTCCGACCAGCTGCGCGGAGCCAGACCCATCCCCATGCCCATGCCCATACCGTTGCCGCTGCTGTTGGCAGCAGTAGTGAATGGGGTGGTGGAGGTAGCAGAGTGAGGGATGGGGGGGAGAAGGGAGAGGGGGAGGGAGGTGGGGGCAGGGAAGGCAGCTGCAAGAGCAGCAGCAGCACCACCACCACCACCTGCAGAGCCAGCACCAGCACCAGGGGCACCCATGCCCATACCACCAGCAGCACCAGCAGCAGAAGGGACAGCAAGGCCAAGAGCAGCAGCAAAGTCAAGCGGAGTGGAGAGAGCAGTCATGAGGCGGCGGGCAGGGCGGGGATACCCCCCAGACGGCACCGAGGCAAAATGACCCGCACGCGCAGGCAGTGGAGCTTGGGGAGTAGAGGACAGGCGCGGGATGGGCATCAACGTGCGAGGAGGAGAGACTCTTGGCGGCGAGCGAGAGGACATGGAGCTAGTCCGGCGAGGGGAGGCGTCCATGAGCCCACCGGACATGAGCGCTGCCACAGACGACGCCCCTCGCTGCAACCCACTCCCTCCGCTGCCTCCTGTTCCTCCAGTTCCTACGCTGCCCCCGCTGCCTCGCAGCCCGGTCCCTGCGCCTGGGGGCCAGTGCGGCCGGGGAGGGAGGTCGTGGGCGAGGTCTATGCCGCTTGCAAGCAGCATTTCCAGCTGGCCGGACCCGAAGGATGCGGAGCTGTTGCGGCGCGAGAGGGAGAGCGTGCTGCTGGTTATGCTGCTGCTGTGACTCATGTGGCTGCCGTGGCTAGCATGGCTGGTGGGGCCCTGGTTGCTAGATGCAGAGCCTGCCAGGGAGAACGTTGATGATGCACCATGCATGCCACCACTTGCAGCAGCGCCAGCACCAGCAGCAACAGCACCACCAGCAGTACCAGCACCAGCAGCACCTGCACCTGCTGCAGCGCCACCCATACCAGCAGCAGCGGGCGGTTGGGTGAGCGGGCCGCTGTTGGCAATGCTATTAGTGGCAGTACTCGCGGTGCTGTGGGTCCGCTGCAGCTCCTCCCACACCGCCTCTAGCTTCTCCGCACGCGCTGCCTCCACTGCCAAGTGCACCCCCGTCCCCTGCGCCACCAGCAACTCCTGCCGCAGCACCGGAATCCCCGACCCATCCACAGCCATCCCCGCTCCCCCCAACCCATCCCCACCGTCCCCACCACCCATCCCCGCCTCAGAATCCCCCTCAGACGACCCCCGCACCATAAGCCCCAGCACGCGCCGCAGCTTCCCCGGATGGAGAGGTTTCACAACGGAGAATCCGCGGAGGGTGGAGCGGAGGGAGGGGGCGGCGGCGGGGGTGAGGACCCAGGCAAAGACGACGCCGCTGGGTTGGAAGGAGCGCAGCTTGGTGAGGAACGCACGCACCTTGGCCACGTCGGGAGGCGTCTGCGCCATGCCTGGCAGCTTCTCGATCTCTAAGAGCACTAGCAGCCGCTCCTCTGCATCCTCGTCTAACCCCTCCTCCTGCTCTTCCCCCTGCTGCTGCTCCTGCCCTTTTTGCCAAGGTTCCTCCTCCCCTCCGCCATTGGCAGTGGAGCTAGCACCAGAACCGGCAGCGGCAGTAGCAGCAGCGCTCCAAGCAGCGACAGACTCGACCCGGTCACAACCATCGTTCGTATCCACAAACGGATTCGACCCCTGCGACTGCAACCTCTGCTGCTGCCCCTGCCCGTGCCCCTGCTGCGCCCACGGCTGCTGCCGCTGCTGCTTGTGCCTAAGGCTCGCCTTAGCAGCCCAGTCCCTAACAGCCACGAGCAGCTCCTTGGTGCTCTCGGTCCTCCCTGACCGCACGCGGTGCCGTGCCAGCCACCGC